TCTTCAGCTATGTGCAAGCCTAACAGCAACGGCCCTGCCCCATCCCGAGGAATCTCTGTCCCGGGGAGCCCCATTCCGGTGTCTTGTACGAGGCACATCCGCCGTGGTTCCTCGCATCTTCCTCGACTGAAACCGCGGGCTTTCCCTCTTTCTTGTTTCTTGGCCGCGATCAGCCTCTTGGTGCATTGGTGACAGACCGATGTCTTGTCTAGGCCGGTGAAGTCTGTCTTCTTGCAGCCTCGGGGTCGGTGGCATCGGACGCATGGGCCGGCTGCCGCTCGAGGCGGCATTGATGGCACGGTCGCTCCGTTTTCGACCGGCTGGCCTGCCGCGCGAAAAGTTGTTCGCAGCAGAGCCGCGTTGGAGAACTGCCCTAATAAGTGCTCCGTCAGCTGGGGTTCCAATGCGGGAGGGTTGCTTTCGTTGCGGGTATTACCTAAATACTCGTCGTCGTCCGCGCCGTCCTTGAGCGCCACAGCCACCATCCCGTGCTTGATCGTCCGCGTCATGTGAGTGCAGACCTATAGTTTGTGCTAGACTGGCACATGGTGATGGTGGTAACTTGCGTGGAGAGGGTACGATTGCGTTTCGTCTTGAGACGAGATTCGGGAAGACTTGGCGACTTGACTTCAACTCAACGACAAGCTCGACGACTTGAGTGGTGTCTGACTTCGACCTTCAAACGACAGAGTCTAGACTTGGGTGCGAGACGCAGCAGAAATTTTGCATGTCTTCAACTGGAAGGCGCGGTCGTCGAGATAAGATGGCTGGGTGGCTCTCAGGGGGGAAGAGCTCCCGGGGGGCAGGAGCATTCGGGAAAAGGGGCAACCACAACAATGCGACCCGGCAACATCACAACAACATCACAACAACATCACAACAAGACCTCGCATCAGCGCCAATGCAACGCAATGAGTAAAAATCAAGCGGAAAACACAACATGGCACATGGCAAGACCTTCTCGGTCTCTAAACCCCTCCCAGACCTGCTGCAATCCCCGGCCGAGACTCCCGACTTGGGCCAAGGTGGCATCGGACATACCGCCTTCGCAAACACATCGGGAGAAGAGTTCAGCAACATGAAGAATGCAGAAGCACTGATCGGCCGCTCGACCTCTGGGAAGGCAAAGAAGCCAGAGACGCCCTTCTCACGGCACCAAATGACAGAAATCAGAGAAACACGTGTCAAAACGAATAATGGCATCGACCTGGGCCTCGGCATCGGCATTAAGGACGGCAGGTTTGGACACTGAACCGTCGTCAAACTCGGCATCATCATCGTCGTCGTCGTCGTCGTCGTCGTCATCGTCCTTCTCGTCATCTGGACCGTCTTCACGGATATCAGCCGCCCACAACGCGAGATGTGCAGGGCCAATGCCCTCAGATGCAGATCGAGATGCTCCTTGGTCGTTAAGATCCTCCCCCTCAGCGTCATCAAGCTCCTCTTCGTCGGTCTCGGTTTCGTCGGTGTCTACAAGGTACTCCTCGTCGTCGGTATCGTTTTCGTTGGCGTTCTGAGAAGCGATGAGAGAGGGAAAGGAAGGGACAGGCGGGAAGTCTTGGACCGATGGGTGTGAGAAGGAAAGACCGGGATTTACGGAGCGTTGTGGTCGTTTTGGCGTTGGCTTTGGTGGAGAAAGGAGGCGCTTTCGCGTAGAACTCGGGGCGGCATCGACGGCACGCTCGCTCCTTGCTTGATCGGCCACGTCGTGTGGGTGCGTATGGTGGATGTCAGATTGACGCATGGTGATAGTAATAACGTGCGGAAAGGGGGTACAATTGTGTTTGTCTGGAGACGAGATTCAGGGAGACTCGAACGGCTCGACTTCAACTCGACGACGAGCTCTTCAATGAGCTCAACAACTTGACTGGTGTCTTTCAAACGACAGTGGAGATGCAGCAATTTTTTTCATATCTTCAATGGGAAGGCGCTTATCGAGATGGTGAGTGAGCTGGCTCTCAGGGGCAGGAACCTTTAAGGGGAAGGGGCAACCGTGGCACGACCTAGCACCAACACGACGACAAGACCTCGCATCCATCAGCGTCAATTCAATTCAATGAGAAAAAGCAAGCTAAATATCTGTTTCTCTTAACCATGGGCAAGGCAAGATAGTATGGTGTTTTGCCTAACGAGCATGTTGACGTCTTCTCTCGCATGGGCAGCTCCCCAAGTCCCCTCGATATTGTCACCGAGCTTGGGCTCGGCCTGGTCTTGGCCTGCTGCTTTATCAAGCTTGCCTACTCCTGCGGTGGAAGCAAATGACTATTTCAACGCTATACTCTGCTTATCTTGCATGTTAAAAGCAACAGGGGCCTGAGCCTCGATGCCCTATGACATATGCCAGGCTGCCCTGTGGCTGTCTGCTCTACGGGCACTAATGTCAGAGTAAACTGAGCTTGAAGAGGGCATAAAGTGCCCTATGATGGAGTTTTAACAAGTAATTCAGCCTGACAAACAGGATGCCATGTTACCCAAGTTTGGGACTGCAGCTCCGATGGCATGACCAACTCTGCATTGAAAGAGAGACGTTATAAGGTAAATACCCTTTTAACTGTGCTTTGTACCAGATAGCAAGAGCAGGGAAACAATAGGCCTTGTCTGAGGCACAAAGGACGCCTGCAGTCAGCGCTGTTTCCTTTTTATTTACTTTCCCCTGTCTCCACCGACCACACCGACAAAAACACTTGGCAGAGACCAGCGGGATAAAAACCCATCGACTCCCACACTCATTCTCCCCCAAGGCGCTCCCCAAGACATTCGCAGAGCAACACGCGCTGACAGTCATTCTCGCACCACTTACCACCGACACCGTCACCAGCACACCCTAACCTCGTCATCTTACAGCGCAGCATCAGACGGTCCGAGTATGGGATACGGCTACAGGCGCCAAGCGGCAGGTACTACAGGGCCATTCGAGCTGGGTCAACGCTGTCGTCTTCTCGCCGGACGGCCGGCTCATCGTGTCGGACTCTAACGACAAGACGGTCCGGGTGTGGGATACGGCCACGGGCGCCAAGCGGCAGGTGCTGCAAGGCCATTCGCGCAGGATCAACGCCGTCGCCTTCTCGCCGGACGACCGGCTCATCGTGTCGGGCTCTGATGACAATAAGACGGTCCGGGTATGGGATACGGCCACGGGCGCCGAGCGGCGGATGCTACAAGGCCTAAATGCCGCCCCATGGTTTCTCTCGTTTTCTTCTTGTGGTAATCATCTTGTTACTGATAGTGGAACCTTACGGCTGCCTTTCTTCGACTGCCGATGTTCGCATCACATATTTGCCACAAGTTCTTGAATTACCAACGATGACGAACAGCTTCTCTACCTCCACCCAGACTATCAAAACTCGTTTGAGGGTATTTCAGGCAGCGTCGTCATTTTCACGGGCAGGGTTTCGCATACCCTGCAATTGGATTTATAAGAGAGAGAGATGTGCAAAACGTATCGGGGAGGATCTTCTAGGCGTCGTTGACTTGATAACTGGCGTAATGGTTAGTTAATTATGAGGTTTTGGCTTTTAGCGTTCTGAATCATTCACACCTGCTGTGCTCGATCTGCAATAATACCTTTTCAGAGCTCCTTTTCTTCTATCTTTGCCCCCTCCAGGGGTCCTAGGGGCCAAGTGTCAGAGCACACACTTTGGGAGTCTCTTCAGTCAAGATGAATGCCACAAGACACGGTTCGGTGGAGCGAAGTCGTGGAGCTGTCTCTGTTCATACAACGGAACTGAACCTTAACCTCCAAAATCCCTTGCCCCGTGGGCTGTCTGCTGCTCGCCTCTTTATACCGTCCAACTTCCCATGCGCCTCGCTTGCTCCTCGCTTGCCCCTCGGCACCTGTGCGCTGCTTGTTTTCCTCCACGGTTGCGCTGCCTCTGCTGCGGCTGTGGCTCGGTAGCAATGCATTGGTCTGACGTCGATGTGTTCGCTGTGGCCATTGTTGTGTTGTTGTGATGGCTCGTGTGATGCCAATTGTCACACTGCAGAGAAGAGCTTGGTAGCGTATGGGTGGGAGGTAACAAAGCGCATTGCCCAGCTCCCGTGACAAAGGGAACCAAGCGAGTGTATACCTAGAACTATAGGTACATAAGAGAACCCCCCAACTACTTCCGTAAGCAGTGCCAAGTGTTCCCACGTGCTCAGGAGCCTAACATCACTGCCCGTGACAAGCTCCTAGAAAAGGGGGAGAGAAGAGTGAATATTGATTCAGGGATATGCCCTCGCACCGTGGCCCTCTGGGCAGAGCAAGGAGGTCCGGATTTTTGGTTTTTCCGTTGCGTTCCATGGCTGCAGGCCAATTTTTGTATTTCAGGAGAGCTCAACCTCCCATTTTAAAGATTGACACCACAAGCCCACCACCAATATCTTGCTTCACCACACAACATTGCCTCGCCGCCCCGGCGGCGGGAGGATCCTTCTTCGTGTGACCAGACGGGGCCATGTCTCGGAATCGCAATTGAGATCCTACTCGCGGAGCAATCCGCATTCTCATTTCTTTGTTTGCACGTGTTGACGTGTCCGTTTCCGACCAGTCCGACAGAAGTGTGATGTGTGGGTAGTTTTGGGTGTGCGTTTTTCTTTGAGGAGCGATGGCTCCGCTTCAATATAGACAATTGAAGCAATTCCTAACTCTTCACGTATATCGTTTTATACCTATTTTATGGTACCTTCCAGTGCCCGTATATAACTAGCTGCAGTGGTTTGAAAAAGCCGCTCCTACATTCAGTAGCTATAGCTACTAGTAAAGGCTTAAGGCTTTAATTGGTTATCCTCCCGAGTCTACGGCCTCGTCTCACCCTCCTCCTCCAGGGGGTCCTGAAGGCGACCATCGACCAGCTATCCGCCGTCTGCGGCAAACAGAAGAAGAAGATACGCCTGGAGAGAGCAGGGGATCTCTTCGGAAGACGCCTCTGCACAATGCCGGTACCTGATCCTGGTTGGCTGTTCTCCATCTGCTGGATCAAAACCGGCTCTCCCGGATGCGAAACAATATAACGAATCATGGTCGGGTGGCGCAATTGGTAGCGCGTAGCTCTCCTACGAGTAAAGCTGAGGCTATGGGTTCGAGTCCCATCTCGATCGACTGTGCTTTTTGGCGATCGTGTGTTGACGCGGTTTTCTCACCAACGATCCACCGAAGATGGAGAACAGATGGAGAACAGCCAACCGCGGCCAGGTACCGTGGTGTTGTGCAGAGGCGTCTTCCGAAGAGATCCCCCGCTCTCTTTAGGCGTATCTGCTTCTTCTGTTTGCCGCAGACGGCGGAGAGCTGGTCGATGGTCGCCTTCGGGACGGCAAGGCGCCCCTGGCGGAGGAGGGCGGGACGAGGCCGTGGACTTGAGAGGAGGACCAATTAAAGCCCTCAAGCCTGTACCAATGGCTGCGGCTACTGAATCTCCCCTCCTGTACCTTTTTTCCCCCGGGTGTACAGCTATCAACATATGCTGTTCAGTCCCGACCCCGGTCAAGCTCGTCCTTGGCCGCCGTGCTCTCTCTGTTGAGGACCTGCTGTCACTCCCTTGTCTCGGCTGCAAGGTCAAGGATGCCGGCTGTTACCTTTCCTTTTCGGCCAAACCCGCCGAATCCACATCAGCAACAAGCGCATCCTCTGCATACTCGACAACGATGCTCGCCCAGAAGTGCTTCGAGGTTGGCCTGTATGGCGGCTCAACAGCAAACAAGACGCGCGGACTTGCGGGGCGGGCAAGTGTCCACCGGAAGGAGATACGGTACAAGAGAATGGGTATCAAGACCAAGGGCAACAAGTCGAGCAAACACTACGCCCTTTCCGGCAGAGACGGTGTCCAGACCCGTTTCTTCGTTCTCGCTCTGATGTCGCCAAAGGAGCCAGCCAGCAAGGCGCTCTCATTCCTCGTGGAAGGACTGTTTCACGCCTACCTCGATCTCGTCGAAGAGGCAAAGTATGCCCATACGTGGCACCGACCAGCCATGTCCCGACTGATCACCGAGATGCGGTCATCGACAAACTTCTTGCCGACCGTCACTGATCTCAAGAGGTTTGGCCTCAATGCCGCCTGGTCCCTCCGTCAGGGGGGTTTCATCGTCCCCAAGTCGATCATCGAGCAGCCTTGCGCCGTCTGCGGCAGACAAAAGAGGAAGATGCGCCTAGAGAGAGCAGGGGATCTCTTCGGAAAACGCCTTCGTTACGCACACTATCAGGCTCTGCGACGAGAGGAACCTACGTGGCTTGCGGGTGGCCCCTGCGTTCGATGCCATCGCCCCCGAGGTTACAAGAAAATCAACTTCACCGGCAGAGACAAGACATCGACATGCAACCAATGCACCAAGAGGCTGATCGCGGCCAAGAAAGCCGGCAAGCCCGCAATTTCGGTGGAGGAAGACGCAATGAACCACGGCGGCTGTGCCTTGTGCAAGGCACCGGAATGGGGCTTCCCGGGGCAGACGTTCTTAGGGTCAGGGGAGAACCGTCGCTGTCGGGCTTGCGCGAAGCTCACGAAGCGAGCCCAAGCTCGCCCCCAGGGAGCTGGGCGGCAAGCCCAACGTCATCTCGAGAGAGACGAGAAGGAAGGCCAACCTCGGCTTGAGAAAGCCAAGAACAAAGCCCGACATTAACTCGAGAAAGTCAAAAAGGGTTGTGGGAACTGTGGGCAGCCCGAGACGTACGGCAACCCTAAGTCATGGTCAGGGTTTGGAGACAATCGGCGCTGCCCCTTGTGCGCTTCTTACCGACGTGAGCATGACGGAGCAGAACGACCTAAATCACTTGACGATCGCCCCCCCCCCCCCCAAGCAGAGTTTGTCAAAGATGGGTGTAAAAACCCAAATTGCAACCAACCGGAGCCGAAGGACCAGAAGACAGCACGAGATGGATGGAGAGGGTCTGGAAATGATCGACGTTGTACTCGCTGTGTACAACACCGCAAAAACCACAATGGATTGGAATGGCCAGAGAGGGCAGCAAAGCGAGGCAAGCAAGCAAAGTAGATAGTAGGAGAGGATTATAGCTAGTCGTACGGCGGTATAATATACCTTGTGCTAAGGTACTATAGAGTAGTCATAGGTGACTGGAGATTAGCATTCTGTAACATGGTCTCAAGAGTGTATTGCAACTAGCTTGAGGAAAGAAATGGCCATCGCAACTCGATGGCCGGGTGGGGCCCCCCAGTTTTTTGGAGATTTTGTTCGCGTTTCTGGCAGCTCTGGGAAAAACCAGTTACCGAGCTCCTGGGACAGTTGCTGGACCGTTGGTGGGAGAGGTTGGCGGGAGGGGATTGAAGAGCCGCCAGGTCTCGTTGAGCGGACAATTTTGGGGTGTGCCAAGCCAGGATTGGTTCGCCCAGCCACTGTTAGGGTGGTTTTGCTGTGTTTGCGAGCTTGGGACCTTGTGGCCTTTGGCCTGGCCTCCTCGAGGTCCAGGGTTAGGGTAGATCAGGTGGTCGACTCAGGGGGTCAAGCCTTCAGAATCGGGCCGCGTCTTTCCGACTGCGTCGTTGCGGACTCCGTCGTCTCGGTCTGTGCCGTTATGGCCTCCGTCGTCTCAGTCTGTGCCGTTGTGGCCTCCGTCGTCTCGGTCTGTGCCGTTATGGCCTCGGTTGCCTCGGTCTGCGTCGGCGCGGCCTCCGTCGTCTCCGGCTTCATAGTCTCGGGCTGCGCTGCCGCGGGCTTCGTTGCCCTAGGCTTTCTTTTCACGCGCTTTGACATCTCGGGCCGCGCCGGCTCGTCCTCATAGCCGATGCAGGTGGCCGTGGCGAACTGGGCGTCGTGGCTGATGCTCACCCTCGCAATCTGCTCAGCGTCCTTGCCCTTCCTGGAGAAGCGGAGCAGGGCCATTGGGGCTTGGGCAGAGGCGGGGTTCCTGGAGCTCTCAGGGCAGACCTCGGGGCCCTTGAGCTTTGCCAGGGCAGACGCAGGCAATATGTTGATGGTGTGGAAGGTGAGGCTGAGGTGCGGATGCGCCTTGATGACGGCCTCCTTGGCTGCAAACCTGGACGGGGCGTGAGCATGGGACAGACACGCAAGGCCAACAGAGAGGCAGTTAGCTAGACGTACCTTCCAGCAAGGTACTGGGCGGCGCGCGAGTAGACCCAGGGGTGCAACGGGGCGTACGCGGCCCCCGTTTGCTCCCGGGTGCGGCGGCGTCCGCGGGGGGATCCCCCCCCGAGGAGAACTGTCTCGTCGGGGGCGGGGGGCGGGGCGGTGATTTCTGGGACGTGCAGCAGGACCCTGAGGAGCTCGGGGTTGGCGTGGTCCAGCTCGACGGGGGCCAGCAGGCGGCGGATGAGGCGGGCGGCCAGCGGCTGGCGCAGGATGGCGGCGATGCGCCCGACGTGGCAGATGTCGGTGCCGACGTGGAGAAGGTATGGGAACGGGCGGAGGAGGGGGGGCGGCATGGTGGGTGTGTGCGTGAGTTGTGGTGTGAGGGTTGTGGTTTGGATGTTGACGACGGATGAGACTGTGAATGAAAAGTGAGCACTTGGCGGGGATGAGGGGATGGCTTGGGCTGGCCGATGGCACTAACTAAGCTACAGGGGGGCACACAGGGCAGAGTGCGCCAATGCGACGTCCTGGGCCGGCCCTGCAGGGCTAAGACAATTATCGATAAGCCTGCATCCTCACTGAACATCTCCCCTCTGAGTTGAGCTCTCCATCTCCCTCATCAACCAATCGCCATCACCATAAGCCTGCATCTCATCGCCCTCAACTCGGTGTCGTCCCTCGGTGTGCCTGCTCAAGCGTTGTCTTGTCTCGTCTCGTCGTCCACTCGGCAGCACCCCGCGCATGCACCATGCCGCAAAGGCACACCACGACACGCCATTCCCTGCCCGTCATGGGACATCAGGGAGACGAGGGACACGAGGGACGCTATGGCCACACCAAGATCGGGCACGGCGCGACAACAGCGCAGTCCATCCTGCATGATCCATGATCGCCGTCCGCCCCCTCCCATTGGCCCGCCCGCCCGCCGCCGGCGCCAACCCCATCCCCAATCAACGACGTACACGGTCCGGATGAGGCAACCGGTCGCCTTGCGGCGGCACTGGCAGGCATTCCCCTCGCCGTCCGCGTCCCATGCCCAGCCGCCGCCGCCGACGAGCCTCCCCGCCTGCACCGGCCCAAGTGCCGGGGATCACTATAAGACATCATGTGGCATCAGCGTGCCCATGCACATGCCCATGCCATATGCCTGGCCTGCCTATCTGGTGAGGCCGCAACCCCCCCATGGCCACCTTCATCATCAACGGCCGCCCCAACGCGGCCCGCATCCCCAATGAGGTGTGGGAGGACCTGCGGCCCATCATGGTCGAAAAGTACAAGACCATGACCCTCTCCGAGGTTCGCGACTGGATGAAGCGGGAGCACAACTTTTCCGCCACGTGCGTCCACCACCACCACCACCACCACCACCATCACCAAGCTACCATCCTCCAGGTAACAAGTGACTGACACCTCCCGCAGCAGGCGCCAGTACGTCCACCGCTTCTTGCACGTCTGGAAGCTGAAAAAGTACAAACAAAACACCTCCCCGCCCGCCTCTTCCCCAGACATTTCCGCCCTGGCCGTCGGCACTCCCCCACGCCTCGACGGCCTGCCTGGCACACCTCATGACGTCCCGCCTGCCGAACCGCATGAAGAGGACCACCACTTCGGGAGCCACCCCCTCTACGATGCCATCCCACCCCCCACCGGGCCATATGCTGCCGCTCCCGGCTTGCTCCCGCCGCCAATAGCTTTTCCTCCCGCTCCTGCTCCCGCCTGTCCCCCTCCCGCATGGGCCCCTCCACCCGCCCTCGCCAGCCTTGCCATCCGCGACCCCCGCTCCTGGACACCCCTCCTCAGCCCCAGCCCAGACTCCCACCTGCGCTACGCCCGCCTCGCCTCCATGCTCTCCGCCCTCGGCGACGCCCACCACGCCTTCGCCATCCATTCCTCCCTGTGGACCTCCCACCCCTGGCACGCGCACGCCGTCGCCTGCATCCGCACCGCCCAGTCCCACCCCGAGATCGAGTCCGCCCGCCGCATGGTCCGCGCCGAGGCGGCAGCCTCTACCGAAGATGACACCGTCTGGGAGACAAAACTCACCGAGCTGCTGCTCGCGCACACGCACCTCTGGGGTCCCGACCCCCCGGCGGGGCTTGAGCGTGTAGCAAGAATCGTCCGCGCCGTGGTCCGCAAACGGGGGAAGGGACGCGACCGCCTCAAGATCGTCACCCCGCGGCCGCTCCCCCTCGATATTCCCCTCTATCTCTTTTTCCGCTCGGCCCTCGTCTGGCACAACTCCGCCTCGGGGGGAGGCTGTGTCGACGTCCGCGGCGTGCTGAAACAGTTCCTCGGCCAGCAGCCCGCCTTCCCGCGCGGGCTGGAACACGCCGAGACGGACCCGCTGCTGGGCATCGACTGCCTGTCGGGGTGTCTGGCGTGGTGCGCGGGGGTGCTGCGCGGGCGGCCGGCCTTGCCCGCCGAGCTGTTCAACGTGGTGGGGGCGGGCCCGGTGGTGGAGGCGTGCGCGGTGCTGTGTGTCCTGTGGCGCGTGTGGTTGGGGTATCGGCCTGAGGCGGCGGCTGTGTGGGGGTACCATGATGGGGCCGGTAGGGTGTGCTATGGCGATGGGCTGGGGCCGTGTCCCGCCTGGGGGGAGAACGCGAGGGCGCAGATGGGGATTGAGGCGACGGAGTTGCTTGGGGTGGTGGTGGGGATGGTGATGGCGGCTGTGCCGAGGGGGCAGCAGGGCGGCTTGGGTATGTCTCTGGCGGAGAGGGCACTGGCGGGAGCGAGCATCCTGGAAGGGCTCAGCTCGGAGGACTTGGTGAGACGGTTTTTGGAGCAGGTGTGGGCGAGTAACAAGCGGGTGATGACGGTTGGGAGGTCTGGGGGCGGGAGGGGGCAGGAGGTTCGGGAGGGGCTTGTGAGTGCGGAGGTGGTTGGGCCGTTGAGGGCGTTTGTGGCGGGCGCCTTGGGGGTGTATGACTTGCCTGTGCTGGAGCCGGGGGCGGCTGTATATCCGCTTGTTTTGGGGGAGTTGGGGTAAGGACAGGAGGGGGGAAGTATATGGAGGGTATTGAGTTGTACACGGCGTTTTTGGACGATGGGGAGTTGACACAAAAGCTTGGGGTCTGGATCAAAAATGGCAGGTAACTGGGCAGCCGATATCAGGAGACATCTCAACTCCGCTCAAATCCGTATATTATTCGTTTTCAAGCCTCTTTCAAGCCCTTAAACCCGAGCCCGTGCGTAAACATCAACCCTTTCCCTCCCATTCAGCCCCCTACGACCAAGCCGTTGCCGTGATCACCTCCGCTCTCAGCCCATCTCGATAACCACTTTTCTCCTACACTCGGGCGCCGTGTGGCGGTTCCCGTTCCTGTCCTCTATCCACCCATCCAACACGCGTATCCCCCCCTCCCATCCTCCTCCTCACCCTTCCCACCCCATCCCCCCAATCTACGCACTCCCCTCCTCCTTCAAACTCCCCCGAAACTCTCCAATCGCCACACCCCTCTCCACCACCCCTCCCCCCTCCTTCCTCTCCAGCGTCCACACCTCCCGCACGCCCAACTCCTCCAGATACCCCAGCCCCCTCCCATAATTCGTCCCCACCTGCCCAACCCCATGGCTATCATCCGACACAGTAAACTTGCCCCCCATCCCCACCCACGCCTCGGCAATCTCCCGCATCGGGTACGCCTCCGCCAGCCCCTTGCGCAGCGCGCTCGTGTTCAGCTCGAGCCAGCCGCCGTAGCAGTGGGCGGCGCGTAGGTTGCGGAGGATCCGCTCCCACACGCCAGGCCAGTGGGTTGATAGAGGGGGTAGGGTGGCGCGTTGGGCTTCGTAGGAGCTGAAGAGGCGGATCAGGTCAAAGTGCCCGACCACGCGGGGCTGGAGGGCCTGCAGCATGTCGTGCTGGGCGTCGAAGTAGGCGGTGAAGAGCGCCTCTTCCGAGCCGCTGTGGGCGGCCACCGCGCGGGCGTAGGTCGGCGCGTCGAAGTCGATGGGGATGGAATCGACGTGGTGGACGGAGCCGACGAGGTAGTCGATGCGGGGGTCGGCGGCGAGGGTGGTAATCAGGGGGATGTATTCGTCCGGGCGGAGCCATTCGGTTTCGAAGCCGACGAGGAGGGAGATTTGCGGGGAGAAGAGGGTTTGCAGGCGGGTGGCTTCGGCGAGGTAGGAGGTGTGCCGGGGGTGGAGGGTGGCGAGGGATTCTGAGGGGGAGGGGGTGAGCTAGGTAAGGGAGGAGGTTAGTTGGCGGCGTGAGAATTGGGCGGGGGCGGGGCAGACTCACCTCCTCCGGATACAAATCCTCGACGGCGGTGCGCGGCATGTGCTCGGTCAGGCCCATGCTCTTGAAGCCCATCTTGATGGCGTGCCGGATGATGTCCTCGAGCGAGTCCTTGGCGTGGCCGGGGCAGAACTGACCCGAGTGCGAGTGCATGGTAAAGGCCATGGCGGCGGTGGTGGCCGTGAGGCTAGGTAGGGTTTATGAGATGTGAGGTTAATGAAGTTGAGGGTTCGTTGAGCGGGGAGATTTGGATGAGATTTGATGTCAGTTCTTGATGATGTTGCGGCAATTGGCAACAATCAAGGATGGGACTCGACACTCCAGGCCTTGCCTATTTCAGCTGCCTTTTTAACAGGCATACCAGAGGTCTTTGTGAACCCAAAGGGAGGGGCAGTCAAATGCTCAGGCGGGGGTTTAAGACAAGTTCCTGGCCGAGAGTCACCGAAAGCTGAGCGGCGTCCGCGGGAGTGCGGGGAGCGGGGAACCGCCGAATCCGGCACGGGCCTCAACCCTCGGCCCTCTCTGGCACAGCACGGCTCGATCAGCATAGTGGGATGCCTTGTTGTTACATCGTAGGTTTACTTGTAATTTGTATAGAGGAATGGGGGGAGAAAATAAATAAAAAGGATGAGCCTTCAAAAAGATGGCCAGTTGTTTCCTCCCAGATTACCATGCCCGGTCATGACAGTCAATCTGTCGATAAAAATGAAAAAAAGACAAAAGAAACACCAAGCTTGCGCTTGAACAACTAACGATCCACCCAGGGGTCGAACCTGGAACCTCCTGATTACTTGTTCTCGTAACCGAGTCGTAGTCAGACGCTCTGCCATTGAGCCAGCGGACCTGTTGAAGACTGTGGAGCGTGCTTGGGGATAATGAAGCCCGGATGACGAGGTGGGTTGTGTGGTGGAGACATCCGACTTTTTTTTCTCCTTTCCGTTGTGTTGACCTCCAGGTTCCACACCCCAGGGCTGCGCGGCCTGGGCTGCCCACCGCTTTCTCTGAGCCTTGCTTGGAAAGCTGGATGTAAAATCCTCCCTTGTTTGCACAGGGCGAAAAAACGGCCCACCTCAAGTCAACATCATGGCTAGATGGGGGAAGGGCGGGGGTTCAAGATGTTTCGCGAAACGTAAACAAACCCCTTTCAAGACCCCTGATTCTTTCCGCCCATGAGAAGCCCTCCTTCCCTGCTGCCACTGCGCTGGATCCCCTGAAAGGGGTCCTCCAACCTCGGCCGCTCCCCTTTTGTCGTCCAGTCGAGAAAAAGAGGGGACAGTATCCCGTCATCTCGCCTTTCGGCAGTTTCTCTCGGTGCTGAAGCCCCCTCAGTATCTTCAAAAGACAAGCATCCGGCCCGACCCTGGCCAGTTTCTCCATGCTCCCTCATTTTGGGCTCTTTTGTGAATTCCGGCACATGTTGTTCCTTTTGTCGGCTTGTCCACCCCCCTGACTCGGAGCCATGCGTAGTTGGACACTGCTGGTAAAGGTGCCAGGTGAGACTGGATTCGACATATTGTGTGGTATCGTTTGTCCATCCCCGAATGGATTCGATGGATGGTGAACCTGGAGTTGTGACACGCCGTTCTGAGCAAACAACTGCCCGTATGAGACTCCCTGGAGAATACCTCCTGGCGCCAAAGAACCTGACGTGATGACTGAACCCGTCCTGATATCGTGGGAATTTCTGTTGTCGTTTCTCGAGAAGAGATGGGCGATGCCAAGGCCGAGGTTGGTCGTGGGTGTTTCTCGTTAGATGGTATGGTGACTGTTGCCATCCTCGAGTTGACTTGCCCTGGAGGCTCAGGGGTCGAGTGTGCTGTTATCCATCCACATCTCCTCGAAGGCGTGACCGAATCCCACCCCCGCCATCCCTCCCGAGATTATGATGTCCCCGTTGGTCCCTTTCTCTTTCCCCCCTCCCCCTCCCATGTACCCCTCCCTCCCTCTCAACCATCAGCACATCCCGTCGTGGCAAACAACAACTTGACTGGCAAAAAACAAAACAACAAACACACAACACCCAGAACAACACAACAAAAAAGCCAGGCAATCCGAGCAACGGCATCGATTCTTATATCTTCCCGCCTCTCCCCACCTCTCCTCTCCACCACCACCCACCGCCCCCAAGCCCGACGGAGTCGGGCAATCAACACCAGACACACCCGTCTCTTCACCCACCGGCAGCTCGCACCCAAAACAAAAAGCCTCCAAGGCTGTATCTTTAGCCAAATACTTCTCTGCCCGCAACAACAACAGCCTTGCGGCTGTATGACGTTGAGCGTTGGCAGAGCCGCCGCTTGATCAGACCAGGCCACGGCAGGCCAGGTCAGTACGGCAGGGCCAGACCTCATTCAGCCTGCAAGGCTGACGCCAGCGGCCACAAACAGCCTAGATAGACAGAGCACAAGGAGCACGCAACGGCGAACAACACCAGCCGGGGCAGGGCAGTGCAGGCCAACGACGCCGTCACCCATCACCCCGTAGCCCTCACTCTTCCATCCTGGCTATCTAGCTGGCGACACTCCAGGCAGGTCAGAAAGTTCCCATCACATCTCATCACATCCCCATCCCCCAACCCCCAACCCCTCCATCTCGCCAAAGTTCCATCCCCGATCCATCATAAACAGCCTGTGTCATGTGTCACAGCCCGCGGCGCAGACGAGACATGAACCCCCCACGGCTCGTGCCACACCCGTCCCTCACACCCGTGCTGCTGCCATCACACACACAGAATGACTAGCTCTGGCAGTATGCAGGCAGGCAGGCAGGCAGACAGGCAAGCAGGCAAGTGGGCAGGCAAGTGGGCAAGGGCATACTCACTAACTACCATTCCACGGCAAACAGCCATGAGGCCACAACGTCATATCGCCCCTTCTTACTCCCCCAACTAAGCCTCCTGAGACAAGCTCCAACACCCACCGCCTACCAGTCGGCTCTTCCCGCCCCAGCCTCACAACCCCTGAGACTGACACGACAAAACAACAACGGCCACGCCGACGTCCATCACCACACACCCCAACCTCCCGAGGTAATGCCTTGCCTTGCCTTGCCCCCTCCCCGCCAACCGCAGGTCGCCGTGTAGCATCCGCCCGACCCGCAGGCATCATCATCCCAACAACGGCAACCTTCTCGAAGCCCCCCAGAACCACGGTAGGAACAGCATCGGACCAAACCTTCGACGCGGTGTCACCCACCATCCCGTCTCCAAAGGCGATGAGAAGCATATGGTAGGTAGACATTCACACACCAAACCTTACCAGAGACGATCCCGTCCGTCCTCCCTCCAGCCATCTCCCCTGCCTTCTCCAGTTTCCACCTCCCTCCCATCCCAAAACCACCATGCCCTGTCCCTGCCTCGCATCACCCACCTCACCACCAACAACTCCCACCAGAACGGAAAAGCAGGGCACGCATGTCCCCAATGCCGGTGTCATCCCAAGTCGCATCCGATCGAGATCCCGATCTGGAGCCCACCCACCGAATCGTATCTTACAGTGCATGCATATTCCGCATTGCCCGCCCCCCCGGCGAGGCGGACGCCTCCACATCCGCGTGGTCGGACAAGGATGGATGGGCCCGCATCCGGTTTCTCCATATCCCATCTCATACCTTAATCCCATCCCCTCTACTACGGCACCGCAGCTCCTCTGGTCTGGAACGGTCCCCCTCCCCCAGATTTGCACGTGTATGCCGTGCTGGCTACCGTTCCCGCCGTTGCAGTCAGCCCCATAGAAGAGACAAGCGAGGAAGATCACGACGAGGCAAAGGGTAGACAACGTTGGATAGGGAGGGGGGGTGCAACCATGTGAAGTGTGGAGAGGGAAAGCAAGATGCAAGCTGCACAGTCCATCATACCAGTACGACGCTGTCCGATGGGAACGGCCATGATCGTCTCGATCGGGTCACAGAGGAAATAGTCCAGGCTGTCTCTGCCGGCTGGCTTCCATGCGGAATTCCTTCTCGAAGGTCTTGGTAGGCCGGGCTGATAGGTCGGACGGGAACCTACGATGGTAGGCATGGAGGAGCGACGCCCCCAAGTGTCGTGTCGTCCACCGACCCCAACCAAGCCCGCAGGACGAGAGGGCGGTAGTGACTGGCAAACCACGACGAACGATTGGATCGGCACCTCGACATCCAAAACGCGGATCTGGTCTGGGGATGTCGAGCCAGCCCTCCCACCCCGCGATCCAGAGCCTCACACGATTTAGCAGCCGCCCGTCCCTGACCGGATCGGGGAAGGGAGGGCTGCAAGAGCGTTGACGTTGGCAGCACTCACTACCGCGCACTCGCTTGCCCGGCCAACGACGGCTGCACTTGCAGCAGCGAGGTTAGCATCTCTGAGAAAAGACGGCCACACGAGGACGGACGGGACGTGCCCAGAAAATTCCGAGACTCGACCTCCTGGTGAGAGACGGGCTGTAAGGCCAGGGGCAACGGCACAAGGCGGCCGCCGCCGTCTCCAGCCCCCATCCAGTCTCACACGAAGGCACAGACAGATTTGAGTGTGCAAAAAAGGGCCGAAGACAAGTTTCCGGGCTCAGCCTTGGCTCTTGCAGACAAATCCTTCCTCTGCGGGCAGTCGCCCCCAACCAGCCGGCCAGCCGGGGTCATAGCGGGCAGGTAGGCAGACGGTAGCAGGCATTTGCCCAGAGCATGATTCCACTTCACGACGTCGGACGCCCACTACAAGAACCAGAGCGCGGTCCAGTCTGGTAAATAAGAATGGTAGGCTTCTAGAAGGCACGCTTGACAACTTTGAACAGCGTCCATCCTAGCAGCGTCCCATGTGCCCTTCATGCGGCCGGCAGCTTGCCAGACGGCTGCGTGGGCGAACTGTAATCCCTGAAACCCTCTTCATGCGCGGATCCCAACTAGCCCGTCGTAGGGCGACGAACAGTTCGGACGACGGATGGGGGAGGCGTTGGAACGCCGCGTCATGATAGGACGACGGCAGAAGAGATGGACGCTGTTTGATCGCCAGGCGGTCTGATGACGTTATCATGGTCGACACGTTCTGTCCGCGAGGGCAGCGAGGAATCATTGCGGGGGAGGAACCAGACCCAAACTCGACGGTCGCTTGGGGGAGGGGGGGTCCAGACTGGCACACTGGCGCTGGCGCTGGCGCTGGCACTGGCAACGCACGCACCGGGTATCCCGCAGACCACCAGCTCTCCGGATTTTCCGTGTCTGGGCGGCAGCGGCTGTAGCAGCAACATCGTGTGTCTGCACGGCACAGGCGGACTCAAAACGCGGACTGTGTCAGTCAAGCGCGGCTTCCCACGGCCGCCATGAAAAGGGGGAGGAGGGCATTGCGCTTGCTCGCGCATACCACGACGGGAGCAATAGCATCACTCTTGTTCCCTTCTTCTCGCGATGAGATGCCTCTGGCCCTGCTCTGCTCATTGCGAGCTCGAGAGGACGCCTTGCCTTTGGAACCGAGCATGATTCCCAAGGCCCAGAAAACACTTGTTTGATGCGAATGCCTGTGGCACACGTGTAGTGCAAACGTGGCGGGGGCTGGCGCCCAGGGTGCGCTTCCGATCGAGATCGATCGGCGGCGAAAAGAACGTGCTTTGCTTTCGTCTTGAAAACGTTTGGCTTCCGCCAGGGGCAGGCCGCCAGGGGCTGGTCCGTGGGGGAAAGGCTGGGCAAGCCACAGGCACTTGCCGGCTCGCCTCGTGCTGCATCTCTCATCTTTGCGAATGAATTAGCTGACGACGCCTTTGCCTCCTCACCAACATACACAATCGTTCAACTGTTGTGCAAGCGAGTCAGTCCGTCCTCCGAACCGGCGTTCGAGGATGGGAGGATCGGGTTTGTGAGATGGGCAAAATGCCACCCCCC